CCTGAAGGACTATTGGAAGGACTAGAGACACTGTAAAGTGTCTGATGCCCTAGTCAGTGTGGCTCAGTTTGTTGGAGCATCATCCTGTAACCCAAGAGTTGCAGGTTTGATTCCCAGTCAGGGCACATACCTAGGTTGTGGGTTTAATCCTGACCAGGCACATATGGGAAGCAATCAGTTGGTCTTTGCTTCCTTCATATCTCTAAAAGAATAAGAAAAAAAACTTTAAAAAAGTGCCTGATACTGTAGCTTCCTAATAAATGATGGTTATTATTATTTTTTATTTTAACCCATATTCTACTTTTAAACAGTTACAATTTCTTTTTTTCATATGTGTGTGTGGTAGGGGGGACACTTTCCTCTATACTCAAGATTCTTTTGGCTGGTTTAGTAACCAAATAGACATGAGACAGATTAGCAAGAGAAAAATAACCAATTTTAATACATACATATGTATGGAAACCCCACATACATGAGAGAGTCAGTGGCCTCATATACGTAAGAGATTTAGACACAGAAAGGGAACATGGGTATATTAAACATTCTGAGCTAGGGATAAGAGGTAAGGTGCTTTCGGGGCTTCAAAAGGTCATTGCAGTATGAAAAAAAAAAGAGCAGGTGTTTAGTAATTAGAATTTTGCACTGACCATATAGGAGAATCAAAAGAGATCATGTCTGATAATCTGTTATTATGGGAAAGGCCCCTAATTCAGGTTCTAGGTAGTTAAGGGAGGGGCAGAAATTTCTCTTGAGCCTGAAGCTAAAATCTTTAGGTCAAAATAATCTGTGTACAACAGAAGCCCATCTCAGGGTGGCTCATTCTGAGACCCCACACAGGTGACATGACCCTTTTCTGTATGTTTGTGTCTGTTTGTTATAACACTTTATGCATCCTTGACAAAAATTGGGAACAACCGTGTTATGGGTTGCAATGTGTGATGCCAAAATATGAAGTCTTAGCCTCCAGAATCTCAGAATGTGACCTTATTTGGAAATAAGGTTGTTACAGATGTAATTAGTTGAGTTGAGGTCATACCAAAGTAGATTAGGTCATGCTGAACCCTTAATATGACTGGTATCCTTATAAGAAGAGGGAAATTTGAACACAGACATACACAGAGTGAAGACAGATGTGAAGACACACTACAGAAGATGACCATGTGATCACAGAGATGCACCTGGAAGTCAAAGAACACCAAAGATTAGTAGCAATCACCAGAAACCAGGAAAAGGTAGGGAAAGATTTTCCACCTGGGTTTCTGATAGAAAGGCTGCTTTGTGGGGCCTCTGCCACACCAGCCCATGTGTTCTGCAAGACTGTTCTACCTATAAAAGGAGGGAATCTGTCTAGAGCACTGGTTTTCATAGTGTACCCCCTACTCCCAATTGCCTCCTTGGGCCCTCCTTTTGTGGAATTGGAGGTGGGGGTGGGCTTAGAGACAAAGGGTATTCAGACTTCACTGGGCTATGGTCCCACAGGTCTGTGTTAACTGAACTAGTTGTGCTCTTGTCTCATGATTTTTTTTTTTTTTTGGTCTGAAATCATCTGGATTAGAACAGCTGTTCCAAAGCAAGAGCCAGGGACCTGGGGAGTTTGAACAGTTCTGGATTCCAAAACCTACTTCTGGGGACTAGTCATTTGTCCTTTTGGCAAATTCCTCTTTGGGTCCTAGTGGATCCTAGGACGCTGGCTTTTAATGGTCAGTGATTCTAAACAAAGCCATTGGGAGGGGGGAAGTGGCTGGAATTGTGATTCTTGCTTCTTGCTTGTTCATAGTTTAAACAAAGTGACACAATGGGAACTCTGAAAAGGCCCTAAATCCAAGCTTCCTCTGAGGTAGAATCCTAAGGAAACATAAACCATTTGGTTTTACAGACAGGGTGAATTTTTGAAAGAGCGCTTTGTAGACAACAAAAGAGCTATGCATTGATGTGGAAAATGTCATTGTGGGTATGAATGTACTGACCCCCATCCAGCAGGGCCAATGAGTATCATTAATAACAAGAGCTGCCCTTTACTCCAAGCATGGAACAATTCATTTGCTAGGTCTCATACTAAGGAATATAAACCTTACAACCAACCTGTGAGAGATGGGCTATCACTGCTTTGACAAGTGAGGAAACAGAGGCCCTCAGAGCCCCCAGGTTTCAATGGGAGGAGGTATTAGAGATGACAGAACTATGTCCTAGCCAGCACCTCCAGCCTTCCAAGCCAAAGCCCATAGGAGAACCCCGAGGCCTGGTGTCAGGCCTGTTCTTTCAGCACTTACCTGGAAAAGGGGATTAATGCCCTTTTTCACAAAGTCTGGTCAGAGTTGTCAATGGTATCTTGAGGCTGTGGCATCTAGTACAGCATTCGAAAATATTTTAAAATTTTATATAGTGAAATGGTTTCTTTGAAAACTATTTTATATGTAAATACAATCTACAAAACCAGAGATAAGCCACTGTGGCTGAAGGTAAGGGTAGGGGTGGCCTGATTTTCCCCTAAGGCCCCCCGGGCTCCCAGATCACCCCATGAAGCTCATTTATCCAATAAGTTGACTTTTATATCATGCAGGGGGTGCCATGATGTCTAAGGCTCTGGCTTTGGCATGGAAAGAACCAGAAGGGATTGGGGAGGGGGTCACTGCTGCGTAAGACAGCATTGGGCAGGACCCAGATGCAGGCCCATCTGAGCTGAGCACTGCTTTCCCCACCCTCCTCTCTGGCTAGGCCCCAGCAGCCATAACCAGATGCACACAGGATAAGAAATACTGTCACCATCTTGCATTGAGTGAACTTTATTCTTTAAAAAATTTTTTTTATTTTATTGATTATGCCATTACAGTTGTTCTATTCCCCCCCTTCATTCCCCTCCACCCTTCACCTCCCGCCCCCACCATTCCCCCCCTTTAGTTTATAACCATGTGTCTCAAGTTCTTTAGATTCTATATTTCCCATACTATTCTTGCCCTCCCCCCTATCTATTTCCTACCTACCGTCTATGCTACTTACTTTCTGTACCTTCTCTCCCCTTCTCCTCCTCTCACCCCCCTGTTGCTGACCTTCCATGAGATCTTCATTTCTGTTTCCCCTCCTGATCTAGCTGTCCTTTTAGTTTGCTTTTGTTTTAGGTGTGGTTCTTAATAACTGTGAGTTTGCTGTCCTTTCACTGTTCATCTTTTTTATCTTCTTTTTCTTAGGTAAGTCCCTTTAACATTTCATATAATAAGGGCTTGGTGAGGATGAACTCCTTGAATTTAATCTTATCTGAGAAGCACTTTATCTCTCCTTCCATTCTAAATGAAAGTTTTGCTGGATAGAGTAATCTTGGTTGTAGGTCTTTGGTTTTCATGACTTGGAATACTTCTCTCCAGCCCTTTCTTGCCTGTAAGGTGTCTTTTGAGAAATCTGCTGACAGTCTGATGGGAACTCCTTCATAGGTAACTGTCCCCTTATCTCTTGCTGCTTCTAGGATTCTCTCCTTCATTTTAATCTTGGATAATGTAATTCTGATGTGTCTTGGTGTGTTCTTCCTTTGGTCCATCTTCTCTGGGACTCTCTGAGATTCCTGGATTTCCTGGAAGTCTATTGCCTTTGCCAGATTGGAGAAGTTCTCCTTTATTATTTGTTCAGATAAGTTTTCCACTGTTGACTGTTTCTTTCTCCCTTCTGGTACCCCTATAATTCGGATGCTGGAGCATTTAAAGATGTCCCAGAGGTTCCTAAGTCTATCCTCATTTTTTTGAATTCTTGTTTCTTCATATTTTCCTGTTTGGCCATTATTTTCTTCCTTCTGGTTCACTCCCTTGATTTGAGTCCCAGTTTCTTTTTCATCACTATTGGTTTCTTGTGCAATTTCCTTCATTTCAATTAGTTTAGCCTTCATATGTTCCTCTAATTTGTGACTGAAAGCAACCAGTTCTTTGAGCATCCTGATCACCAGTGTTTTGAACTGTGCCTCTGAAAGTTTTGCTATTTCTTTGTCGCTTAGAGTTATGGGCTCTGGGTCTTTGAGATCTTCTTGAGCCCTTTTTGGTCTGTTCGTGCCAATTAAGTATGAGGAACTGAACCATAGATGTTCACAAGGGCAGGGTCGCTCAGGTCACCGCTGGTTTGTGATGCTGTATGTGGGGGCGGGGTCAAAGCGGGGAAATGGTGGTCCTCTCTGCTGCCTCACGCTGCTGGGACCTGCTTGGTCCCGTCTCACCACCCACTCCCTCTCTGGTCTATCTGCTCAGGAATGAGCAGTCCACGGTGAACCCACCACCCTGTGCCCTCGCTGGGTCTACCCGCTGCAACCCCACACCTGGGATCCACGCACCAGAGTCCGTCTGACCAAGTTTTCCTGTGCAACCCTGCTCCGCCTGCTGCTGGCTTTGCCCCTCTTACCGGTCAGGCTGAAGAATTTGTTATCAGACTTCCGAAAAGTTCAATTTTCTGCATTCTGGGTGTGTTTTCTGTTGCTAATATTTTGTTATCTCTAAAGTTGGTTGTGTGAGAAAGCATAGCATCTCCACCTATGCCTCCATCTTGGTGGAAGTTGACTTTATTCTTTAAAGACAAAGCTCACTAAGCTAAAAATGCCAACAGCCTTCCCTTTTTGCTTGCCCTTCTAAAAGGCATTGTGTTTTCTTTTTTTTTTTACAACTGCATCAATGCTTTATTTATTTTATTTTTTTAATTGTATTTAGTTATTTTTCAAGTACAGTTTTCTGTTTATTTCTCCCATCCCAGCCCACCCCTCCTCCATGCATCCCACCTCCCTCCCATTTCCACCCCCCTTAGTTCTTGTCCCTGTGTACACCCTTCCTATTTGTTCCTCCAAATCCCTCCCCTTTTTTCCCCCTTAAATTCCCTCCCCTCTCCCCTCTGGTCACTGTCCCCCTGTTCTCTATTTCAGTGTCTTTGTTTTCTTTACTGACCAAAGTTCAGTGATCACGTTCAATGTTGGTGTAGGATCTGATAGCAGATGTCAGGGCTGACCAGAAGACTTACTTTGGCATCATCAAATGGAGCTACTTTTGGTAGATGTCTGGGATCCTACCGACTGGAGAACTGATCATTTATACCGTGTTTTTGGTAAATAACTTGTATTCATAATAAATAAGTTGTTCCCAAAAGCCATTGTTGGGTTGGATGATGGGGCGGCATAACTTGGTCCATTTGTGGGCATTCAGCAGTGACATGTGGAGGTACTTCATGATAAAGGTGATACAGAGAGTGGCTGAGCGGCTCATGCCAGCGACACAGTACAGCAGTGTTTGGCCCTGTTTCATGTCCATGCTGTGGATGAGATCAGCTATGGGATCAAAAAAATCATAGAGGTGTGCTTTGGGAGAGTCTACCTTTAGGTACTGGATGCCCTCAAAAACTGTGTTTACTGTCTCCACTGAAACATTGATGACAGTAGTGATGTGGTAGCTGGACAACATGAATCTGTTATTAGCTGTTGTGGCATTACTTATAAACAGGCTTCTGGTTATCTGGGAGAGGCTATGGACACTTGAGGGTTGTGAGACCAGCTCAACCTGGGAGGAAGTCCACAGTGTTGTCATCAGGCACAAGGGAAGAGGTCTCTTTGGGCTGGTTTCAGGGCATCACTTCCAGGGGTAGGTTCAGAAAGCTGCAGTGTGGCTTATGATGCTCACTGGTCATTACCCCTCCCTGCCCCCAAGTGTCACAATCCCACTGGTTTCCATGGCAATGATAGCTTGCCACAGGGAGGAGTTGACCAAGATCTGTAGAGAAACCCCAGATCTCTTCTCATCTTTCTCTACAGTCGTTTATTTCCCAAGTCCTAATTATTTTTCTATTTTATATTTAAATTACAGCTGGCATTCAACATCCAAGCCCTAATTCTTATGTCTTAACATTTTAAAATGTTTTTTTTACAAGATATGTAGTCTATGTTTCAATTATTGGATCACACTGAATACAGTATCTATGAATGCTCCTCTGTCTTACTGGTGTTGCAGAACAGGGCTTACACTTTTTCTACAAAGTAGCAGTATCGTATTTTAAGTTGGGCAACAGCATTTGGCTCATGTGATATAGTAATCTCTATAAACCTGCAGTAAGATATTGGTTTGGCTGGGCTTGGTGGGCTGGCCTAATACTTCTTTGTTGATTGTAGCCATTTAATTATGCTCCTGCTTACAAACACATCAGGACTGGTTTTAAGGGAATATTGCTAACTGGTATATATAGCCCTTTATCTATGGTGCATTTGGTCTGTGAGACAGTTGTGACTAATTTAGCTGTGTCACAGTCCATTTCTGCAAATGGCCCAAATGTTTTATCACTTGATTCTACTTTATTACCAGAAACAACAGCTCATATTATCTTGCCTACTTTCTTGAAAAAGAATATCCACATGCTTTGTAAACTCTAAGTCATTCTGACCACCACTGACAGTCTATCCCAGTAATATTAAAACTTCTGGAACAAGTCAATGCGACATCGTAATTGGGCCAAAAATAGATATTAAAATGTTGCCTGAGATTTACATTTTCCCTCAGTTAAGATTTTTGTAGAAGGTTCAAAAGAACTGTAACCTAAAACAAATTGTTTCACAAAGCGGCTAATAAACATATTACCTCACACTCACTTTGTATCATTTTGGGTTGCATCTAAAGGTATACTGAGACTATGAGCAAGGATGATATAGATGTCAGCCTGTTTGTAAATGATCAAGGAAATGATAACCTTAAAAGACAGCACACTTTTCTTTTTCTCAGTTGTCATAACCAGATTATTTTGCATTACTTAAATTGTCAGTCCCCACTGGCTATCAAATCTATCTGGAAGAAAGTAAAACACAAATACTAAATAAATAAAAACATTGCCTATTGGAGAAAGCTCAATTGAGCTAAAGTTATTTTAAAAGAGTTTAACCTAACATTTGAAATATGCCATCATGAGAAACTTTGTAATCTATGGACAAATGTGGAACCCCCTAAAATGTTAGTCTAGTTATTTTATAAATATATTCTTCTTAAACTTTAAAAATGTGGTAAGATTAATCAAAATAATTTCATATACCATTCACAAAGAGAAGCATCACTTGTATTAAGCAGATGCATTTAAATTTTTTTTCAGCCAATATTTTGTGATGCCCTTTTTTGTGAGGGATGTTGGATGTTATAAAACTCCACAGTGGGACTCTTCCTGGGTTTGGAAATGGGTCACTTTCAGATTCCCACCTGTCTCTACTTTTCCTTATTATTCAGGGAAAAAGATGGATAAAAGACTTGCCTCCCTAAATACTTTTTTCCTATTACTGGGAAAGACTTTGCATGCTGCCCATTCTCTTTCCAGACTTGGTGGAGTAAAAGGTGCCATAATGACAGTTAACGTCTGCCACAACAAAGAGCAAAAGGTTCAGTGCAGGGAGACCAAGAGCCAGGACATCTACCTGAGACTGTTGGTCAAGCAGTTCAGGTTTCTGGCCAGATGAACCAACCCCACCTTCAATCAAGTGGTGCTGAAGATGTTCATGAGTCACACCTGCTGGCTGCCTCTGTCCTTTTCCTGGATGATCTGGAAGATGAAGCTTCCTGGCAGTGAGGGCAAAACTGCAGTGGTTGTAGAGACTATAACCAATGACACGCATGTTCAGGAGGCACCCAAACTGAAGGTGTGTGCACTTCATGTGAGCAGTCACTCCTGGAGCTGCATCCTCAAAGCCAGGTGCAAGATCCTTACCTCCGGCCAGCTGGCCCTGGGCTTCCCTAAGTGCTGTGGCACTGTCATCCTTTCTGCAAGGTCCCTGCAAGGGCTGAGAGGAATAGAGGCATTTCAGCAAAGCCTCAGGAACCCCTCACATCCACATTGAACCTAACCTACACTCCAAGGGCTGGAAGTTTGAGTGCTCGGGAGGCCAACAGACAAGATGTGGCTACAAAAACTAATTCCAGATCCTACCTTGTTATTAAAAAGATTTTGGATGCTGATAGAAAAAGACCTTGCATGTCAAGAACTAGATAATACTTAATTTTTCAGTTCAGCAGTCAAGGTCCTTTCCAATCTGATATAAGCCTGCCTTTCAAATCTCATTTATTCATTGATTCACCAAATTTTTATTAAGAATTTAGTGTGTTAGACATTCTCACTGTAAGTCTTCAGTTCTGACCAAGCAAGTCAAATGCTCTTGGTAAATACAAAATATACATTCCTGCTTCCTTACCTTTGCTCACACCACTCCTTTCTCTCGAGAAAACTTTCTCACTCCTGTCTGCTTACTGAAGCTTATCCAAGCCTCAAGTCTCAGCCTGATTAATTTAAATAAGCATCCCCTGAGAATCCAGTTTGTGTCAACCACAGTTCAAGCATTGTGTAGATCCAACATAAAACATAGGCTCAGATATCAAAGAGCTTACAGTTTGGTCAGAGAGATAGATAATCATGAAAGAGTCCAGAGGAGAGCATGATTCATTGTTTTATGTGTGTGTTTGAGGAGTGGAGGCAGCAGCAGGATGTTATGAAATGCTACACAGAAAACATGACCCAGCAGAAAGCTTTTTGTTCATTTGCTTGTTTTTGTTATTTATTGTTTATTCTGTCCAAAATATCTTAAGTGAAAGAGAGTTTATTAGTGAGGCAGTGAGACACAGAGGAGGCTACTCCACTGGCAGAGAAGCTGTCCAAATTTTTGTTTTGAAAAATTTCAAACATAGAGAAAATCTGGAAGAGTAGAACAATGAACATTCCTTTACCCATTATCTATAATTCCTCTGTTGTTAACACTTCACCACCACATTCCCTTTTTCTCTGTTTAGACATGCAAACATATATTTGTTTGCTTGTTTCTTTTTGCTGAACCATTGCTTGTTAATTGTAGATACAGCAACATGTTAGCCCTTCAGTACATATCTCCTAAGAGCAAGTACAGTACATTCTCCTACATCACCATAATACAATGACCATACTCAGAAAATTTAACATTGACCCAACATTATTATCTAATATATAATCGATATGCAAAACTCATCAATTTTTCCAATAATGTTATCTGTAGGTGATTTCACCCCACCACCTCCACTCCATTTGACCCAGGATGGAATCAAGGATCACACACTGCATTTATTTTTCATGCTTCTTTACCATATTTTTTATTCTTTATTTTTTTATAATCTCTTAAAAAAGATTTTTATTTATTTATCTTTAGAGGGGAAGGGAAGGAGAGAGGGAGAGAAATATCAATGTACGGTTGCCTCTCGTGTGTCCCCTGCTGGGAACTGGCCTGCAACCCAGGCATGTGCCTTGACTGGGAATCGAACTGCGACCCTTTAGTTCACAAGCCCATGCTCAATCCACTGAGCTACACCAGCCAGGCCTCTTTATCATATTTTAATTTGGAACAGTTACCAAGCCTGTTCTGTTTTGTTTGTTTTGGTTTGGTCTTTCCTGACATTGACATTTTTAAAGAGCTGAGGCCAGTTTTGCAGAACATCTTTCAATTGGCAAAAATACTCCCAGAATGTGTCATTTCCAGTACATTGCATTGGGAACATATGATATCTCTTTGTCCTATTAATAATGATGATGATAATTTTGACCACCTGGTTAAAGTAGCATTAGCTAGGTTTCCATATTATTAAGGAAACTTTTCCTCTGTTTAACTAATAAGAAATGTGTAGGGTCGTGCTTTGAGTCTGTGAGAATATCTTTGCTATTAGGACTTTGAAGGATGAATAGAACTTCCCCAGGCAGATAAGTAGGGAGAATATTCTGGACAGGAAGAGCAGCACATATAAAGGCACAAAGGTATGAGATGATGTCAGGAGAGCAGAGAACAACAACTCAGAATTACTAGAAAAAACAGTGAAGCAGGAGTGTGGCAGGTGGAATGACTAGAGGAGCCAGCAGTGGAGGTCATAGAGAGCCTTGCCACAGATAATTGGGCTTGATCCTGTAGGCCATGGTGACACACTGGAGCACTTTATGCAGGGAAATGCCATAATCAGAATGGATTTTTAGGAAGCTCACTTACAGCTATATGAGTAGATTTGTGGAGGGGTGGTGTGGTTGAGAGAAAGGCAAAATTTGAGGGTGCGAGAGCTATCATGATAGTCTAAGTGAAAAATGATACATCTATTGCAGACTCTTTTCTGACATGGAAGCTGGATTAAATCCAAATATAGTTCACATCCTCAAGTGCACAAATGAGCCAGGCCACATAAGAGAATGGAATACCAATCTTGTTATGGATCAGTTTGGGGTTTTTGAAGGTGAACAGTGAATGCAAGATGCTGCTGATGTAGGTAATGTGTTTACATTGAAGGGAATTGGGGGTGAGAAAAACCTAAAGGAGTATGGGAGGAGGACACCAGAGAGCTAGTAGCTAAACGGAATTGCACGATATGTTGTCTGATAGACAAACAGTGTGGGTGGTCCCCAGCTGAAAGCCCAAAGACAGAGGTGGGAATTGGTTTCCCCAGTACTCAATGCAGCAGCAAGCCAGCTCTCAAAGACTGGGCTCAGTCTGATCTTTCGTTTCTGGATGGTGAGAGGAGACAGATAGATATCAATGTGGAAGTCTTTATTTTTTTTTCTG